CATCTTCTTCGTCCTCGGTTACCTGCTTCTCCGATTCGGTCGAGGCTGGGGGTGGTGATTGCTATTTAGCCGTCTGCTTATCTTTGGTGTTTGACTTTTCCGAGGTTGAAGGCGGTGGTATCGGTACCACTTATTTGACTGCAAATATCTCCTTTGCGGCGTGTTGTTCTCCGTAAACCGTTTTCACACCATCCACTGTTGGGAATTTCATTATCTGATGAAGGGTTGAAGGTACTGCCCTAGTGTTGTGTATCCATAGCCTCCCGAGAAGTGCATTATACCTCATGTCGCCCTTGATGACAATTTTGTATCTTAGATGGTCCCAGCCACGTTCACTGGTAAGATTATCTCTCCCTTTGTTGTTTCGCTTGCCATGTTGAAGCTATTTAGGACTCGGGATGCAGGTACAATATGGTCCTGAAGGCCGAGCTGCTCTACGACCCTCGATCTGATTATGTTTGCTGAGCTACCTGGATCCACTAGAACACGTTTAACTTGAATTTTATTTAACAAAATAGAAATTACCAGGGCGTCGTTGTGCGGCTGAGATATGCCTTTCGCTTCCTCATCATCGAATGATAGGACGCCCTCGAGTACATAACTCCGAGTCCGTTTTTCCCTGGTGATCGATACCTTGGTGCATTTGAATACAGGCCCTTGTGGAACATCGACACCGCCTACGATCATATGAATTACGTGTTGCGGTTCCTCCTGCTCATTTTTTCTGTTTGCATCTCTTTCCCTGAAGTGGTTCTTAGCTCGATCACTGAGAAATTCTCGAAGATGACCCTCGTTGAACAACCGAGCTACCTCCTCCCTCAGCTGCCTGCAGTCCTCGTTTCTATGGCCATGTGTGCCATGATACTTACACATTAGGTTCGGATTCCTTTGAGAAGGATCAGTTTGTATAGGTCTGGGCCACCTAGTGTCTTCGATTCTTCCAATTGTTGACACGAACTCCGATGCATCTACACTAAAATTATACTCCGACAATCGAGGTGCTTCCGCGGGGTCGGTATGTTTATTAAAATCGTTCATACTTATGAGTCCCCGAGAGCTTTGACCTCGATCATTTCTCCGATCGTTCCGAGGAGAGTTACGCCCCGAACCGTTGTTTCTTCGATCGACATATGGCTGATATCGTTCCTTGTTTGATATTCCCTGTCTGTATCCCTCGGGGTCTTAGCTGCCAACCTGTTAGGATGAACTGAACCCGAGGGGGCTCCCAACTGGTCGTCCTCGACCCTAATCTTCGATTGGTAACGATTATGTACGTCTGACCACGTCACAGCTGGGTACTTGATCAAATTCTGCTTTAATTGTCGTGACGCCATCGAACTCCGCTCGTTCAAACCCTGCATAAAAGCCTGTACTGCCCAGTCATCCGAGACAGGTGGTAATTCCATTCGCTCCATTTGAAACCGGGACACGAACTCCCTTAACATCTCATCGTTCCTTTGTTTTATCTTAAAAACGTCCAATTTCCTTGTCGCCACCTTTATGGCCACGGCATCTGCTTTCACAAAGGCGTCTGCTAACATAGCAAACGAATCGATAGAGTTCGGGGGCAAGTTGTGGTACCAAATCATGGCTCCTTTCGACAAAGTTTCCCCAAATGTTTTCAACAATACTGATTTGATCTCATCATCATTCAGGTCGTTTCCTTTAATACCGCAAGTGTATGAGGTAATATGCTCATTAGGGTCGGTTGTCCCGTTGTATTTGGGTATATCGGGCATGCGAAACTTTTTAGGAATGGGCATCGGGGTCGTACTCTGAGGGAATGGTTTTTTTATGACTTTTTTGGCATCCAAACCTTTCAAGATCGGGGGTGCCCCAGGTATTTGATCAACACGGGAGTTATAAGTCTCAACTTTCTTGTCATTATCCTCAATCTTCTTCTCCCGGACTCGATTCCCTTGGTGAGTTCCTCGAGCATCCTCATAATTGTGGGATCAGTCCCCGGGCCATTACCGTTTGATCTTTCCGGTATCGGCTCAGTACGTCGAGTGTTTTCTGGTTCGACTATACTTGGAGTTTTATGCTGACTCTGAAGCTGCGCGATAGCAACCTGTTGAGCCTGTAGCATCTCGAATATTACTTGGAGACTAACTCCCCCGTCTCCTAGACCTTGTGTTCCTTGGCCACCAGATCGGGCTTCCCTGCGTACACTTCCTCCGGGGTCCGCGCCTAAATCCGCATCCAAAGCAATGTGCGAACTAACATCGACTGGTTCCCCATTTGGCAATTCCACAGGGTTAATCGGTGGTACACCGACCCCTATATTGTTATTTTCCCCATGAAATCCAAGACCCTCATCACTATTCACGGGTGCGTTTTGCGAGTTTGACATATTTTAACCTGAAAGCAAAAATTCTTGACAAGAACAAGTGTGAAAATAACGTGTGTAATCAGAATCAGTACTGAAATAATCACTATTATCTTTAGCCCCACGGTGGGCGCCAAACTGTTTACCTTGAAAATACGAGTAACAATTAAACTTGATTTATGATTTTAAAGATATGTGATTTAGTTCAATACTAATTACTCCCTCCGTTCCAATTTATGTGAACCTGTTTGACTGGGCACAGAGTTTAAGAAAAAATGAAGACTTTTGGAATTTGTGGTCCTAAACAAGTCAAAAGGGGGTCTAGAGTATTTGTGTGGTTATAAAAGCTTCTCATTAAGGGTAGAGTTGTAAGTGTAAGCTAAATTGTTACCAAATTTAGAAAGGGGTCATTCTTTTTGGAACAGACCAAAAAGGAAATAGGTTCACATAAACTGGAACAGAGGGAGTAATAACCCAGAAATCTGAAGTATAGATGAAAGAAATAAGTAAAACCAAACCAGTATGTAGGCTAGTCTTGACCTCGAGCTAGAGTGACCTCGAGATGAATCAAGAACAGTAAAGCAAGAATAATAAAGCTAAAGAACAATTCTGATGAACAATGAGCGAGAAAGTAAGAGAGTATATTCTTTTCCCATGATTGATCCTCTTTACAAATGATTGGGAACCCTAAATAAGGTACATTTCTATTTACAGTAAAGAATCCTATTGGGACAGTTGTCTAACCGCCTAGTACGGATTCGTACAAATCTATTCCGGGATTTACACCACGATCTTGGGGACGTGGCAGGAATCTAGCTCATTCTGTTATAAATTCATAACGGCATTATCTCGAGGTTGGTCATATTAGGCTCCGACGTTCCTCGAACACTTAGTTCTTCGAGCTTTGTACTCTGTCGTCGAGCTCGAGCCTGGTCCATCGAGCTCGAACCCGATCCATCCTGAACTCGGGCTTAAGGCATCCCCTCGAGCCCGGGAAATCGAGCATACCTGATTTTAACCGTATACAATATCAAGCATTTATCATTTCAGTAGCGAGTATTACCCCCATCCTATAGAAAGGGTAGTTAGGTTTAAGGATGGCAATGGGCGGACGGAGCGGAGCGGGGCGGGTT